CCCCCCCGGGAAGAGAAAATGAATGGAGAAATGGAACATAAATAACACTGAGGTGGGGAGTATAAGTTCTATCCTATTCAGCTTTCTCTGCCACTTAGTGAGGACATTAAGAACGTTCATTTAATTTTTGAAGAATAGCCAACCTCTCAGACTATTAAGGCACCATTGCACATTCTGCTCCTAGACAAGACATTTGTTCTGATTGTGTTGGGGGTGGGGAATTCTCCAGGTGGTACTGAACTACAAACCCTAGCAACCCCAATGAGCATTGCCTGTGGTGAGTTGTAGTCCAGCAACCCCTAGAGGACATGTTCCCCACCTTGTTCTACCATGTTTCCCATCATGAAAATGATCATCTGACATGTTTGAAGGGTGCCAGTTTAGGGAAAGCTGGTGTATGGTTTCCTTTGTGTGTGGTTTACAAAGTAAACGGCTGAGAATAAGATGTTATAGAGTCTCCATGGTGACTCTTGAGTTCTATTCTCAGCTGGTTGATTTCCCACTCAGTTTTCATAACTATTTAACTGAGGAATAGGACAAAAGTGGTGGACTATAAGGTCCTATGCTTTAGAAAGAGGGACATTTATGTTCTTAAAGTGAGGTAGTGGTGGTAGTGGTTCTGGATGGGGTATACTTAAAGCAGGGGGTAGACTTCTAGATGGTGGAGTTCAATTCCCACCAGCCCCAGTTAAAACATCCTGCCACATGTGGAGGGCCAAATGTATCTCCTTACTGTCTTCAGTTGATGTGATTCAGTTTTGCATCTGAAAAATAAGCCAGGCTGTATTCGATGACATGATGATGGATGCACGAGCATTCTTTCTTCATGTCTACTAGGAGTTTCAAGTTCTCTTTTGCATCTCACCCAATATGTTTCTTGAGCCTTAAAGAATTCTTCCTACCTTTCCCCTTCTAGTTTCAAATATTATTTATACAACTTCTTAGTCACTTTTTCTGACTCAATACCCAGTTGCTTAATTAGCCCTAAAGCTACTGCAAGAATCTGTGGTAGCACTTCTAGGCCATGTTCATAAGCACACAACCTGGTGCACGCAAATGTTCCCAAGAACTATCAAAGCTTCCTTGGAGTAAGCCCTTATGGACTCCTGCATCAACCCTTTGTTCTTGAAATCTTCCAGAATTGGAAGTAGTCTTCCTTTTCCAATAACAAGAATTGTACAGTGGATTTTAACTGCTACTCGGACTGAGGAATTACCACTAGAGCTGTGAGAGAGAAACATCCATTTTAAAACCATCACTGGCAGCAGCTGGATTCCTTAGTAAGCCATTTGTGTTTCTAAAAATTGGCAGATCTGAAACCAGCACATATGAGACAGTACACCAGCTTAAAAAGTAAGCCATAAGTCTGACTTCAGAATACCAACAAGAAGCAGCCAATTCTTTCTCCTTCATTTGGCAGAAGTACCAATTGCAGGAACTGGCCATTTAAAAATATAAAAAAGTGTTGTTCTTTTCAGTCTCTTGTCTAATTCATGTTTTTAATCTTCCCAATAGCCAGAGTTCTCTGGGCAGATTACAAAGCAGTTAAAAACATACTCCCTCCCCCTTTCTCAGTCCAAAAGTTTGCAGGCTCTGCGCTGAATAGATATGGGGACGTGTTCCAGCTGGCTGCTCTTGTATCCAACCAGTGGAGAACTGCTGAGTCTTCATGCTGTGTCTCTTTTGTGTTGCTGTGTGACTTTTGTGTTGCTGAAGCTTTCTTTGGAGGGTGGGCAGTGGAGGAGATTGGAGGGAGAGAAGTTAATGGAGTGCTATATGCCATCTCGAGTGAAGACTTGTGATCCTGACTTCTGAATTAAAGCTTGTGGGAGCTTCTTTGTCTAGGGCACTGTTGTCCAAACTTGGCCACTTTAAGATGAGTGGACTTCAACTCCCAGAAT